TGCCCTGCCTTACCCTTCTGAGTACAGGGCTTACAGGCATGTCACCACACCAAACCTGATCAGTTTTTGTTTGTTTGTTCGTTTGATTATTGTGTATATGTCTCAGTATATTTGAGTGCCTGAGGCAGCCAGAAGAGGGTGTCAGATTCCTTGGAGCTGGAGTTACATGTGCCATGAACTGAACTTGAGTCCCTCCACTGAGACATTTCTCCATCCATGGTCAGTTTGTTTGTTTGTTTTTTAATTTATTTTTTTATGTGCATGAGTGCTTTGTTTTCCTGTATGTGTATAAGTATACCATGTCCAGTGCCCACAGAGATCAGAAGAGAGCATTCAATTTCCTAGAACGAGAGTTATAGATGGTTGTGAGCCATCGTGTGGGTGCTGAGAACTGAGCCTGAGTCCTTTGCAAGAGCAACAAATGCTCTTAACCTCTGAGCCATCTGATTGCTGTGTTTTTGTTGTTGTTGTTTGTTTGTTTGTTTGTTTGTTGAAATCTAGAATGAGCAGTACTTTAGACTCTGAATTTCAATTTTTTACCTAATATGCTTTCTTAGCCAGGAGGCTGGATCAGGGATGTTCTGCTCTGGATCATGAATTTTAACATGCTATGGCACAGTGAAAAGATGGTCACACTTGAGCTTTGTTATTGATTCTCCCACATGCTCTTCAGGAGAGCCATAGTTTGCTGAGCTCCTGGCATGGCTAGATAGGTTCCCTATACAAACCTTCCCAGCCAGCCAAGAAGTCTGAGGTGTTACTCTCTGGCCCAGTACAGAGCACTGTGCTGAACATTGCCCTAGTACCCTTGGCCTGTTCTTTTTCTCCACTGTTTATCCTAACCTAATGAAATGCTACTTTAGATAGTAATGTCCACTACACAAAACACCTGGCAACCTTGAGCAATTCATTTAATTCCCTGTGCAACTTTTTGCTGAAGTCTATGGATAAGACATTGATACTCCCTTTCAAAAGTCAGCCCTAGGCTCAGCACTTTATGACATCATGTCATTTAATCATTCATCCACTGTGTTAAACAATTATTTCCCCAATTTTGTAGAAGATAGATCTAAGTTTTAGACTAGATCTGTAAATAATTTCAGTTTCTAGGCTATCATTTTTTAAGTACTGGAGATAAATCTCAGTATTTCACAGAATCTAGAGCTTATGGGTATCTAATGATTATCTGGCACCAGGTTAGAGCGGTCCAGAAATTTCTTTCAGTGAGTTTTTTTAATACGTTTTTTAAATTTAGGCTGATTGGCGATTGAAACTGATTCGCAACCATGAGCAAAGAATTAGTTCAGTCATCTCAGTTTATACATTCTTTTCTAAGGAAACTTTTACCCTTTCTATAAATAAGAGGAAAGGATAGAACTGATATCATATAGGGTTTTATTTATGCTTTTGAGGTTTCCCTTAAACAGCAGAATATGAGTAGTTGATTAAATCATCGGCTTGGGAACATAGTAATTCATGGTATGTTTAAATGATGGCTTTGGAAGGATTGTGATGCAGAACATCTATATCGATTACTAAGTATTTCCAGTTGTCAAAGCATGATATAATTGTTTAAAGAATATACTTGGGCTGGAAAACTAGCTCAACAGTTAAGTTGTGTACTGTTCAGAGGGACACAAGTTAAATTCCCAGTATCCCACATGGGGCAGCTCACAATCTGTAACTCCAGTTCTAGAATTCTTTTATTTTCTCTTAAGTTTTACAGTCTATTTGGAAAAGCACAATATATTTCTCCACCTAGCTGTCATGCAACATCCCCATACACAAAGACATCTAGAAGTAGCTCACTAGAAATACCGGGTAGTCAATTAGACATAACTAATAAACCCAGATCTGACCTGAATGTTAATGTGAACCTAGCATGAAGTATTGGAGGAAGCTTCCATAAGGGTCAGACTTTATGTAGCGTTTTTTCTGTGCCTGGGATCTATCTTTCAAAAGACAGAGGCTCAAGTCATGGAAACCATGGTGAACTTGGCTTCTTCCTCAGTTCCTTGAGATGAGGGTGAGCTGACTCTCAAAGCATGTATCCTGGCCTGTACATTCACCCACAAACCCTATGGCTCCTGATTTTACTGTGCCCCCATCTCTTTCTTATACTATAAGCCAGGTTCAAGGTTCAGCCTTTGCTCTGACAAATGGCCGCTTCATTTGTTGGAGTGGTATGCCCACTTCCTCATCGGTGATCTGCTGATATATTGGAAACTTAGTATTTTAGGTCCTTCTCTGATTCCTGGCATATGTATCCCTTCATAACACCAGACTGTATGTTTTGCACTAGATCATATCTTAATATTTTTAAAACTAGTCATGGATAATAAGATGGATCTCAAAAATAAGAATACAGGTAACATTCATTGTACATATGTGCAAAGTCAAGACACAACATTAATGTTTTCCCAACCATGACTGGTGTAAGACTTCCTGAGTACACATATGTGTTAATGATTACAACAGATTTATGAGACGAGACTGAACATCTGTTTGTTACAACATTATATCAAGAAGAATGTTTGTTGTAAGGATATTTATCACAATTTTTATGAAATTGAAACATCTCATTCAGAACATGATGAAATTTCAAGACTAAACAAAAATAGTTGAAATAAATGAATCTTCCCAAATTCAGGGCCAAGTTCCAACTGTCATTCTGATTTTTAGCTTTATGAAAGATTCTGCTACCTTCACAGAGTTGAGGAAAGTGTTTGCCACTGCACACACCATTCCTTGAAGGCTGGAGTTCTCAGACCCTGGCTGAAGAAGTCTTGGCTAGTATGCTCCACCTGTTTAACTGATTGACAGCTGTTGATTTAATACTTATAGTCCTAGCAGAAAGGAGAGAATGTCTCAGTTATGTTTGTCATTGTGTCTCTAAAATGGCATCATAATGCAGCTAAAGAAAGTCACGGCAAGCTTGACAAGTAATGCATACCTCTAATCCCAGAATTTGGAAAGTAAAACAGGGACCATGATGAGTTCAAAGGCAGCCTGAGCTACAGAATGAGACCATTTGAAATTAAGTTTGAGAATAAGAAAAATTGTTTAATAACACATCATTGTTGTAATTAAATACTAATTCCATTGGCTCATCTTACTCAGTTTGAGTTCCTTTTGACCTTAGCACAAGTATTCATTGCTTCTAGTTCCTGATTTTAGTCACAGTGTTTGTGATCCTTTGGCTTCCCTGCCATAATGGGCTGTGTCCTTCAACTGTTTAACAAGCCCAGCAGTGATGGCTCATGCCTTTAATGCCAGCACTTAGGAGGCGAGGCATGTGGATCTATGCAAGTTTGAGGCCAGCCTGGTCTACAGAGCAAGTGCCAGGACAGGTTCCAAAGCTACACAGAGAAACCCTGTCTGGAAGAAAAACAAAAACAGCAACAACGCCAAAAATGTATAACAAAATAAACCATTCGAGTTAGATTTTGTTGAGTTATTTTATCATAGTGTGATAGTTTGAAAAAAAATGGCCCCTAAAGGGAATGCCGCTACTGGAAGGTATAGCCTTGTTGGAGGAAGTGTGTCACTGTGGGAGAGGGCTTTCAGGTCTCTTTTGCTCAAGTTTCCCTCAATGTGATACTCAGTCCAATTCCTATTGCCCACATATCAACATGTAGCTAGTACCATATCTGCCTGCATGCCACCATGTTCCCCGCCACGGTGATAATGGACTAAACCTCTGAAACTGTACGCTGCCACCTCAATTAAATGTTTTCCTTTATAAGAGTTGCTATAGTCATGGTGTTTCTTCATAGCAATAGAAACTAAAACAGAGGTCAAAGCTAGAACTTAGGTCATGAGACTGGTGTTTTTCCAGAACACAAAATTGATAGTTAATGAAAGAAATCAACAGTTTCTCTATGTATCATATAGAAATTTTTATCAATACAGAGACCAAAGATCATCATTGTTGCACATGCCTTTAATCCCACCATATTTCAAGTTCCAGGCCAGCCACAGCTACAGAGTAAGACACCACCTCAATAAATAAATAAAATTTACATTAATACAAAGAAATCATTACAAATCAGTGTTTAATAAATACTAATTTGCTCTGTAAACTAATAAAAAGTACATTTTTGCAAATATGGCAAAAGAGATGGTTGCTAACTATAACTAGTGGAGGATTGTTCTCAGAAATAAGTTATTTTTACATTTAACTCAGCTTATAGTTGTTATTTTGTTTTTTGTTTTTTTAAGCAAGCTACTACTTTTTATAGTTGTCTTTTTTTTTAAGACAGGGTCTCTCTACATAGCCCTGGATATCCTGGAACTCACTATGTTGAACAGGCTGGCCTCAACTTCCCAGAGATCCTCCTGCCTCTGCCTCCCAAGTACTGGGATTAAAGGCATTGTGCTACCATACCCAGATTACTTTTTGTAATCTTTTGATCTTGCTGAAGAAGACATAGAAGCAGTCTCAAAATGGCTTTCTTTTTTATTTTAAAAAATAATTTTAGGTTTATAGTGTAGAATTTTTGTGTTCCCATACCATTACCAATGTGCATATAACCAATGTAAAAATTACCTAAAGCAAGAAGTTAGCATTAGAATAGTGTTTTGGGGGCTGGAGAGGTGGTTAAAGAAGTTAAGAGGAGGGACCTGGAGAGATGACTCAGCGCTTAAGAGCACTGACTGCTCTTCTAGGGAACCTGGGTTCAATTCCCAGAACCCACATGGCAGCTCTGTAACCCACATGTTACTGTCTATAACCCCAATATCTGACACCCTCACATAGGCATACATGCAGGCAAAACACCAAAGCATACAAAATAGACATAAATGAATTTTTTAAAAGAAGTTAAGAACAGGTACTACTCTTACAGTGGACCCAAGCTTAGTTCACGGCACTCACATCAGTTGGCTCAGAACACCTATGACCAGCTCCATGGCATTCAGCACCCTCTTCTAGCTTCTGAGGGCACTGGACTCATGTGCATAACTCCGCCACCACACCACACCCAGGCAAACACATAAAATAAAGAGATTAGATTTTAATGCATGAATATATTTTATAAACGGCAGAAGAAAACTTGAAATTACTTGATCTTTTGTGGTTTAAGAATAATACTTGAATATAGTCTTATGCATGAAAATGCATAGGATGATATTTCTCTGGTTCTAATGTAATTGTTTTCAAGGTGAAGATGTTCTAGAGCAGAGTCCTCATCCTCTTCAACATTACAGATTTGTTCAGGGAGAATATTCCTAAAGAAAAATACACATGTAAGTTGAAAGCACTCCAAGTAATCTAACTTTAGAATTTAGAAGTCAAGTTTTTCAGGTTGTTTTGTTTCTTAAAATGAAGTTAGGCAGGACATGGTGACTCACATTGTAATTCAGTACTCAGAAGCCTAATCAGGGATGCAGTGAGTTTAAAGACAGGCATCACTACTCAACTGAGTCCAGGCCCTCCTGGTCTAGAGTAATGCCAGATCTCAAAAGGAGAAGAAAGACAATAGAGGTAGATCATTAGAGCTACACAACTGTAAGAAATGATGAGTGCTCTAATGGAGTGTAGCCACAACCTGCAAAGTGAGGAAGTTCTTCCTAATTGTTGCTTTAAAACAGGAACTCCAATTATTGTAGCTGTGTAGCCAAGGCTGGCTTTTAACTACTGTTGCCTTCACCTCTCGATTGCTTGAATTACAAGCATGAGCCACTGAACTTGGCTCCATACTGTTCCAGATTAATCTTCTAGTTACCCATGCTGCCTAGACAAGCATAATGATCAAACATGTAGATACATTTTTCCCCAAAATGGAGGAAGTTGAGTTCTAACAAATTTATTCAGAGTTTACCTTCATAAAACTCTATATTCAAGCAATTATTGTACTCTTCAGATCACTCTATGTACCTGGAGGTTGTAGTTTAGTGTATTTAGTGCTTCACAGCCTTAAATGAGTCTGTCTCCAAGGCTCCACATATTGTGTAGTAATTTTCTACTTAATACTATGTAAACTTGCAAAATTAACACAAAACTGGAAATCATTATGATTTCTTCACATAGTTATTATTCCATTTTAGCAATAATTAACATGGCCAATTTTGTTTAGATCTAATATTTAGCGCCAGTTTTTGTCTTCAACATAAATCTAAAAGTTCATATTATGGGTATTTAATTTTTCAACCAAAATTTAAATTGACACTAGAAAAATAGAAAATTTACCGAATCTTATTGTTGTTCAGCCTCAGAAAATTCAGTGCTTTCATATCTCGTATTCCAGGTGGTATGGATTTTAAGTCATTGTGATCCAGAAATAATTCTCTCAGAGAATGATATGCCCCATAGAAGGAGACTAGGTCCACACCATCATCAGCAAGTCTGTTAAATGACAGGTACAAGTACTCCAGGCCTGGTTCCATATGCCCAAACACATAGCCAGGGATCCGTTCAATCTGGTTCCCAATTAGTACTAGGTGCAATAGAGACTTGGGTAGATAGGAGGGGACATGGTAAAGCTTGTTATAGGACAGGTCGATGGATTCAAGATTTCTGCAATAAAGGAAAAGTGAACAGAAAAAGGAAATTTAGGAGACTGACTGGCCATCCTGATGATTCTAAACAGAAGCAAATTTTATGCCAGCCTGGGTCTGTCTGGCCCCCAAGCTCATATTCTTACCAGCATCCACATTGTTCTTTAGCTAGGGATGTGCTTTAGAGTTCAGGTGGAAAAACTCAGATCCTTAGGGAAATGGGGAAACTAAGTTCAAATTGTTGACTCAAATGAAATCCAGGAGTCTTTGTTTCTAGTAATGTTATTCCCTGATTTGTGGTGGGGGTAGGGGTTGCCTACACTTTTGTTATTTGTTTTATGATCTGGCATGTCAGGGACTTGGGTTGAGATAAAGCAATTAGAGTGAAGTAGAGGAATGTAGAAGTGTCCATGCACTGGGAAGTGCTGAGAATGTGGTGAGCTCCCTACTTAGTTTCAGAAGCTTCCCCTGAGTCTACAAGGGCTTCTGCCCAGCACTTTTCACCCAGTAAAGATCACTCTATTCACAAAGGTCTTCATTATTCTTCATTTGGGTCCAAAGCCTCTTTCATCTCTGTGAACTACCCATTTCCCAGGCTGGTCATCTTGGGAGCATATCCTTGTATAAACATTCAGCCTATGTTTGAACATATCCATTGGACATGATATAAGAAGGGCCTTATTTATTCCTTCTTTGCTAAAGACTACAAATAGGTTGTTGATTCCTGTCTAGAAGGTAGATTTTATTTTGTACTTCTACTGTCAAACAACGCCTTCTTAAGATAGAGAAATGGTTTGGACCAAAGAAGAAAGCAATATGGTGTAGGAAGAAAAGCCTGGACTCTGCAGTTTGGCATTTCCATCCATTAATGAAGAAAAAGTGTGTCAGTGCTTTCTTTGTACAGAAGATTATGCCATTTAAACTGACAACCTGTGAGGTAGGCATTGATTGTTAAGAATCAACCCCCATTTCTTACTAGTTTAGCACTTAGCACATCCACAGGAATTAGTGGTCATAGTATCACTTATGTAATAAATGGTTTGGGATCTCATGTAATAAATGGTTTGGGATCTCAGTGAATTGGGTAAATTTTGGAATTAAGAGTAATAGTTCCATGGGGAAGGATGCTAAGGAAGTTAAACTGTGGAAGATTACTTACTCTTGATTTATCCATGCTAAAGGAGCAATCCGACTTTCTTCTATTTTATTATAACGTAATACAATCATATTGATCTTTCTGGTATGATTGAAACAAATTTCAGTTATTTCTTCAATCTGATTATTTTCTAGATATAATTCCTATAAGTAAAAGAAAATATTATTTTTCTCCTATGTTCAGTGATAACCAATTTCACAAAAACTAAAATAGACTATTCTCGTTAGTATTGCTTAAAGTCTTATTTCTTTTTCAAGTGAGTTCATACTTTTAAGATGTCAAATTTTATAGCTAGCAAAATAAGTTCTGCCTATCATGATTATGGTTAAATCATAATTAAATCAATTTAGTTTGTGTTTTTGCATCTGCCTATTTGAGTGTGTGTGTACATACACATGCTTTCAAAGCATGTGGAGGACAAAGGTCGGTATCAGGTATCTCCCTCAGTAACTCTCCACCTTAGTATTTGAGACAAGGTGTCTTACTGAGTCTAGGGATCACTGATTCAGCTAGACCAGCTGGACTAGTGGGTTCCAGAGATCCCTCTGTCTCCCCATTCTGTGATAAGAAGATAGGTATGTTTATGTTGTGTGCATAAGTATATGTAGATAGACAGGTGTGGAAATCAGAAGACAACTTGTAGGTTATCAGTTATCTCCACAATATAGGTCTCAGGGATAAAACTCAGGTTGTCAAGCTTTGCATCAGCTGGATCACCAGTAAGGTCATCTCTCTGCTCCCTAAAATTCTGGATCTTTAGAAAGTAATTTAGCTATCTGATTTTGCTGACAAAGAATGAGCATGTCAAGGATAGGTTGAGGAGTGTTTGTATCTTAATAATTTAGATGAGGGCTGGAATATGCTTTTGATCCCCAGTACCATATAAAGCAAAGCATGGAGGTAGTACGTGCCTATAATCTCATCATTTGGGAGGTAGAAGCAGGAAGAGCAAAAGCCAGACTATGGTGATAATTTCATGTTTAAAGCGGTGCATGCCTTTAATCCCAACACTCAGGAGGCAGAGGCGGGCAGATCTCTGTAAGTTGGAGGCCAGCCTGGTCTACAGAGGTAGTTCTAGGACAGGCTGCAAATCTACAGAGAAACCCTGTCTCAAAAAAAACAAAGAAAAAAAGAAAGAAAAGAAAATGCCTCCTTAAGATCAGGCTAGAGGCAAGCCTGTAAGGCATTTTCCTAATTAGAGATCAATGAGAGAGGACCCAGCCCATTGTCAGCAATGCCATCCCTGGTCTGGTGGTCCTAGATTCTACAAGAAAGCAGGCTGAGCAAGCCATGGGGAGCAAGTCAGTAAGTAGCATCCTCCATGGCCTGTGCATCAGCTCCTGCCTCTAGGGTCCTGCCCTGCTTAAGTTCCTGTCCTGACTTCCTTTAATGATGGACTGTACTTGGCAGTGTAAGCCAAATATACCCTTCCCTCCCCAAGTTGCTTTGGTTGTGGTGTTTTGTCCCAGCAATAGAAACCCTATGTAGAACAGGGGTGAAGTAGTTAAACTTGCTGGTTCTGGTTTGTTATAATTTATTATGTCTTCCCCACCAAGAGCTGTCATTGCCATTTTTTCATTTTATCGGGTGCATCTAATGCTCAGATGATAGTGAATTCTGCATATAGCATTAGAACACTATCGAGTTTAATATATATTACAGTAGTCTAAATATATTACAGTAGTCTAAGATATTTGGTTTGGAGCCATCAATATAGCTTAGTAGGTAATAAGTGCTTGCCACACAAGCCTAACAACCTGAACTTGAGCCCAACAATCCATGGTGGAAGAGAGAAATCCAACTCCCAAATGTGCTCTGACTTTCATGTGCACATTGTGATGTGTGTGTATGTGTACTCATGCATGTTTCTGTCTCTCTCACATACACACTAACAACAATAATAATAATAATTGATAAGTATTTTTAAAAATCCGTGGTTTAGGGGTTCCTTTGCTGATGCAATAAGCAAATCCAACCAAAATAAGACCAGGTTTAGTAAACAGAGCAAAGCAGAGTGAAGCAACTCCCAGGTAACTCAGGAAGGCAAGAGAGAGATCACATGGCAGGTCTGGTGACCAGGTCTTAAATACACTGTAGGCATGGTCTTGACCAGCTCTGGGGGAGGAACTCACCCTTGGAGGGCTTTCTGAGGGTGAGGGTCTGGAATGGGAGGGGTGAGACTGGATCGGAGATTTCCAGCAACAATAATAATAATTAAAGGATATATTTGTGTTGTATATTACTATAGTGTGCAATACATTTAAAACATTAGAAGTTCAGTGTAGTGGCACACACCTACAATTCCAGCACTCAGGAGGATCATGATTTCTAGGCCAGCCTGAACTACATAATGAGATCCTGTCTCAGAAAGCAAACAAAACAGAAATTAGAAAAAAGATATCAGTACCTCAATAGAAGCAGGAAGACCTTGTGGTATGATTCTAAATTTGTTTTTTCCCAGACGAAGGTATGATAGACTCTTCAAAGATTTGAAAGCTAAAGGATTGACATTGATTTCACTGAGATTGTTTCCTTCCAGTTCTAAGGTGACAAGTTGATTTAAGTCTAGAAAAATAAAATTATCCAAATATTAGAAAAACTTTAAAAGCATACAGTTTGGGTTGATGATGTAGCTAGCACAGTGGCAGAGCACTTGCCTGAACCTGGGCTGGAGCCTCAGCACTACACAAAGAAGAAACAAAAAGAGAAAAAGAAACCATTTGGAAAAAAAATCAATATATTTGGAGATTTCTAATTCCTTTATCTTTGTTTCCCCCATAAATTTTTTTCCTGAGTATTTTATACATGATTTCTGCACAATTCTACCAGGACAAGAGTCATAGGTTGGGGGGAAATATTTCAGGTATTGAAGGGTAAAATATGTATAAGGAGCAGAAACAAGGAAGAACAGAAAGTAGACAGAGAGTAAGGATCATCTCTAGAGGCCATGTTCCCAATAAGGGAGTTAGAAATATAAGTAGTGTTCCCAGCACTCAGGAGGCAGAGGCAAGCAGATCTCTGTAAGTTTGAGGCCAGCCAGGTCTACATAAGAATGTTCCAGGACAGCCAGAGCTACATAGTTAGATGCTATCTCAGAAAAGAAAGAAGAGGAGGGGGAGGAGAAATATGTCAAAGCTATAAATTCCCATCATAGTGACTCATTTACTGGCACAGGGTGAAGCCAAATGAAAGGTGTTTTTGTTTTATTTAAAAAGATTATCAGAATTCTCCGTGTGTTCAGACTGAACAACCAAGGAACTACCTTTATACAGACAATTTTTTCCCTACAGTATTTCTACTGACCTCAGGAGTGGTATCATCTAGGTCATATAGTATGCACCCCTCAACAGTGACATACCCAGGTGCCTCTCAGTCAGAAGTTCATGTTGTAGACAGGGCTCCTCGAAAATAGGATATTTTCCCTGTGCAGCTTAGGCCTATTCTGTGCAACAGTCCCATGAAAAGTAGAAATAAACACCTGAAGCTTTTAAGAGAATGCAGTGTGCTTGGGAGTGGTGTGGAAGTGATAGTCTCTTATGGACACAAAGATTTAGATAGAGTTAAGAGGCACTTCAGGTTGAAACAGCCAAGTGAGCATATGCAGATAAAAGGCCTGTTTGAGCTTGCTGGGATGGAGGCCTCACCCTGAGGTGAGCTATGTGCAGCAGGGTAAAATTGTTGTTCAGGAGTGCCATTGTGACCTTGATGTAAGTCTGGCTCTCATTCTCTACATAACCAAGTGCAGAACTGAAGATGCTATGACAAAAGCCACATAAGAACAGATTACTTGCCAGCAGTGGTGGGCGCCTTTAATCCCAGCACTTGGGAGGCAGAGGCAGGGGGATCTCTGTGAGTTCAAGACCAGCCTGGTCTACAAGACCTAGTTCCAGGCAGCCTCCAAAGCTACAAAGGGACCCTGTCTCAAAAAAACAGAGAGAGAGAGAAAAAAAAAGAACAGATTACTCTGGTGGTAGTATTTAGGATCAACTAAGGATTGGATTTCAGGAAGCAGGGACAACAGCCAGGAAACTATCCATAGTGATGTTTCTTTGTATCTTATTTCCAAAATTAAAGGTACAGAGGATACGGTATTTCTCTAATATGTAGGTTGAGATCTTTGGGTTTTTTTTGTTTTTGTTTGTTTGTTGTTTTGTTTTGTTTTGTTTGCAGTGAACTTCAGAACTTTGTTGTGCAGGACAGGGCCACACTTCTGCCTGCCTACCCCCAAACTTTTAAGTTGTAATTGCTGTGAGATCCTGGTGACCCCCTTCATGATCTCCATTGGAGTTTGAAGAGATAATACCCAAAAAAGGTCAACGTTTCCTTCCTTAAACATGGGCAGTATTATTTACAGTTTACCTTTACACAGGAGGTGAAAACCACACTGGAATTTATCACTAAGCTAACTTAATATTGCCTTCTTCAATGTCTTTGCTACATATTTTTACTATTCTGGCAACTTCTTGTCATTAATTTCTTGGTGTATACCATGTCTTCATCCTTCTTTGGAACTTTTGTATCTTTCTTGGCACCCCCAGTTACTCTTGGCTTAGGCTCACTGTCCAAAGTGGCTACAGTTTTTCTGAATCCCAAACACCTGACATCTGAATCTCCAGAGATGCCTTTCTCTTTCTGAGTCTTTACCAAGATTTCTACACCCGTCGCACTTGTTTTCTCTTCTGCTGCATGAGGCTGGGGAACCTCACTCTGTCCTCCAGACCTCAAGCATGTCTTTTTCCCACTGACTTTGCCCCTGGATGTAGACGTCTTGGCTCCATCATCTGTGTTCTGCAGCTCTGTCTCCTGGGAGGTCTTCATGATCTTCTCAGTTTTCTTTATCCTAACCTTCTCTGCAGATGCACCAACCTTGGATCTTGGCTGTTTTTCATTGGTTTTCTTTCGGTTTCTGGAAGGCAGAGGCATTTTCTGGTTTGGATGGGCTGAGTTTTCTACTTGGGCTTCCTTTTCTTCCAGGATGTTGCTAATCTGCTCTTCCACTGGTTCAGTTTTGTTTGACATAATTCTCAGCTGTTTCATCTTCACAGGCTCAGGTGAAATGTGCCCCTAGCTGAAAGCAGTCTTCTGTTTCTTAGGTGCAGGTTTCTCATATGTTGGTTCTTGCTTAAGAGACACAGAACAGAGCTCCTTGGTTCTTGAAATGCTTCCTTTTCTTGCAGACTTCCTCTTGGGGGGCAGGTAAGTATTGCTTTTGCTTTGTGATTCTGCAGAATCTCTGGTATCCACCACCATTTCCAAGGTTGTTTCCACAATGTCCTCTTTAGAGGCCCTTAGCACTCTCCTTAGGTTGAGAGCTTAAAGTATAGACATTCTCCATTGAAAAGTGGAGAGGAGAAGTAATTATATCACATCCTGTGAAACAAGTTCACAATGCTTTGTATTCCTGTCTGTGCTGTTTTCTTTTTATGAGTGGAGGGAGTGGGTACAAGACAGGGTTTCTCTGTGTGTAGCTCTGGCTGTTCTGGAACTCTTTAGACCAGGCTGGTCTTGAACTTACAGAGATCTGCCCACCTTTGCCTCCTGAGTGCTGGGATTAAAGGCATGCACCACTGTCCATCTGGGCTTCTCTCTCTCTCTCTCTCTCTCTCTCTCTCTCTCTCTCTCTCTCTCTCTCTCTCTCACATCCTGCCTATAGTTCCTACAGCATGTAGAATTATCTCTTTCACATGCCTTTTTCCTCCTAGTTTTCCATTTCTCTGCATCTGTCATTGGTGAGCAGGGAAGGATGACTAAAGAATGGTGCTTTTTAGAGGCAACACACAGAAAGGCTGTGTCACAGCCCTGGGTGAGATCATGTTCAGGCTCACCTGCTAGCTGTTATCCACAGCAGCAGAACTCACCAGAAGCAAGGGAGCTCAGCAGTTGCCTCAGCCAAGGAATATCCAGCATCTCAGGGGCCAAAACACAGCAGGACTAAGAACCCAGGCACCCAGTAATATGGGGAGACATATTACATGAGAGGGCAGAAGAGATCATCTTTTCTGGCTACCAGTATAAAAATGATGCTTCCTCTATTCTTAGTGCATAGAGATAAGAGAGAAGATGGCTAGTCCATTCAGGAGTACAAATCAATGCTCTGGAAATACAGCATATTTGTTTAAGAGGGAAAAGTGTGCTGAGAAGCTATTCCAGGGAAATATGAGGGAAAAAACTTCAAAACAGAAAGTATATAGTTAAGACATGGTGGTTCATGACTGTAAATCTAGCACCCGGAAAGCTGAGGCAGAAAGATTGTAAATTCACAGGCACCCTATACTACATAGTGAGATGCTGCCTCAGAAAGAAAAATCAGTTGTTTATAGTTTAGTAGGGTATCATTTTAATAGCAGAACTAGAAATGTAATTATATGCTTGTTCTCAGTTCCGTGTCCCTTTCAGTCTAACAGAACACTTAGAAATTAAAGTTTCCAGTGTCCTTTCCATATGACAAAGCCCATCAAAATCTGTGCTTATTAATGTTTTTCATGTGCACATTCAAATCCATCTGGAAACGGAATGTTTCCATAACTATGCAATCCTCACATTTGGCAATTCTCATAATTACTGTTCCTTCTCATCAATGGAAGTTTTTTTTTTTTTTTTTTTTTTTTCCTGTGAAGTTTTTTGGAAGTTAACAGAAATAATACTTGGATTGCTTATTCATTTATGTGCACTCCTTTTCAATATTGCTTAATAACTGTGTTTCAACTCAAGTTAGCAGAAAGTGTTGGACACTATACTTCCAAAGCAGTGCTAGCTGGTTATGAAAATGAAAAAGAAAATCAGGCAGTCCTATCTTAAGGGAATTCACAAGTTAGTCAGATGTGTTGGGATTTCCACAAGTGACACTGCTGTGCAACTGCAGTTTGATAACTGTAGCTCCTGTCACTAGAGAAGGAACAGGAGCCTGCTCCCGCATGTTTAAACATCTTCACCGAATTGGCTATCAGAAAGCCGAGCTGTAGCAACAGCTTCGCGTCATACATCATGGGGTATGGCTCCAGAACAGAGCTGCCACGGCTGCTGCTGTGAGATTTCTTGCCCCCACTGTATAACAGCACCTCCGTCTCACACATAGTGCACACTTGTTCCTTTACACAGAATTTCCATACACTTGGATTGAGGCTCCAGCATACAGGAGATTAAGTGGCATTGCTTATGGGTACAGTGAGTCACCCAAATAGCGTGGTTCTCAGGGAGCATTGGTACAGTTCCTCAGATATTAAGGGCTTATAGTGAGTCACTGTACTGTGAGTGACGAACACCTGGCCTCATTATGAAAATGTTTTATTTAAGATTAAAGCAGGTTTTTGTTTATTTTAAAGACAGCAAGACATTGAAAAGGCAATGGAAGGCATATTTCTTGGGTAAGTGATTAATGTTAGTTTATCAACTTAATGGTGAAGTAACCTAAAATTTTCTAGTTGTGCATTTGGCAGTACTGTAAATCAATTTCTATAGGATAACACAAGAATGATTATAAAAATATATATCATTTAAAAACAGTTGATCAAGGGAAATGGCTCAGAAGGTAAAGTGCCTGCTGTTCAAGCATAAGGACCAGAGTTCAGATCCCTAGCACTCTGGTAAAAGCTATAATCCCAGTCCTAGGAGGCAGAAACAGATGGATCCTATGGACTGACTGGCCAGCCAATCTAGTCAATCATCCAAGTTCAGTAAGTGACCTTGTCTCCCAAAAAAAAAAAAAAAAAAAAAAAAAAAAAAAGCAGAAAATGATAGAGGAAAACAGCTGACATCATTTACCTCTGGTCTGCAAAGCATGCGCGCGCGCGCATACACACACACACACACACACACACGATTTAAATACCTGATAAACTTTCTTCATCAACAACCTGGAGATTGTTATCGTTTATTTTAAGTTCTTCTAGTGTAGATGGTAATTCTGAAGGAATGTGTACCAAATTATTTCCATCCATGTTCAGACGCATCAACTTCTTCAAAGACTTAAAAAACAAATCTTAAAATTACCATTTTTTTTTTCAGTCACAGCTATTTCACACTATTTCCCATATAATGGTCAGTCCTATTTTATGAGGCCAGAGGTTTTACCTTCTTAGCAGTGAACAAGTTTCATTAACTGCATGCAGTAATTTGAACCTGTTGTGAATGCTAATAATTAATTTTAATGTATTTATAAAGTTTACTTTCCTGTTCATACGAATACTTATGCTAGAAAAATTATTGTAAAATAATGTTACTCAGGTGGGCAGAGAGAGGGAGAGGATCTGGAAGAACTTAGAGGGGAGGAATATGATCAAAATATATTTAAATTTAAAAATTGTTTTAAGTTACAAAAATATAAAAAATTTCAAAAACCCAAACAGCTGACTATCTATACAGTATGTTTCTACATTACTAATTGTGTGCTCATTGCAGGCATATCCTGCACCACCAAAAGTGGAGAACTGAAGTGGATGGGTATTTCTGAAGCCTTGTGGAATGATTGCTTTCTCCAGGCTTCACAGGAATCATTTCTAAGTTTTACCAGGACAGAAAATCCCCAAATCAAGAAGCAGATAATCTATGACATTTTTCTTTTACTCAATTATAGGATAGATATTGGCCCTCTATGCCAGCTGTTGTTTGGTCAGAAGGATGGAGACTTTGAAGTAGGCACTGGGAGATCCCGCATCTGCCTGCCTAGACTCCAGAGAACTAGGACAGAATCCAGGAGGCCAGTCATTTGTTTCAAGGGCAGATTGAGGGCCCAGACTGTTATCTAAAGGGGGAAAAATTAACTGTGCTTTACATATGACTTCAACACACATAATTTATGTACTCTCGTTTATGCATACCAACCTTTCTCCTCTTGCTTCTATTTGTGTTTCCCTGAAATTCCCTATTCTAGATAAGTATTTTCTCCCTTTTCAAAAGAAAATGGTCAGTGAAATCTATTTTCGTCAAAGGTTTCCCTTGTACATTTGCTGCCCTTTCTCTTTCGCTCCCCCTCCTAATCTGTCTCATGCTAATCTTCATTGAGCTCATTCCACCACATTCTGTCTACTGTGCAAAAGTAAAAAAGCTTCACTTTCCTGTCCTGACTGTTTTAATAGAGACTCTAAATATGCTCTCCTTCATTACTGGACAGTTCTTCACACGCCTAGAGACCATACTTCAGTGAACTTTCACCTCCTGGGGAGAAACTATTCTTTAAATTCAAAACATTAGTTATGTCTGATCTTATTGTTGCTACTCCTCTCACAACATTAACATATGTAAAGCAACAAACTATAAGCAAAAGAAAACTTGACTATAATTTAAGGACATCAGAGAAGAAACAATGTAGAAAAAATTAACACTAAAAACCTTTCTGCTTATATTTCTCTTCCCCACCTCCAACCAAAGCCAGTAGGAGTCATCTTGTTACATACTAAAGTAAGTGTGTACCTTGAATGCTTTTCGACCTATGCCAGAAGAAGTGATATTATTTCTGCTCAGATCAAGCCTTTCCAAATTTGGTAATCCATTAAATGCTTCATCCGGAATGGAAATGATTGAATTCCCTAGGATGTACAATAAATAGTTGTATTAGAAACATGTGCATATATAGACATATATATATACATATAGAGAGAGAGAGTCGTGTGTGTGTGTGTGTGGGTGTGTGTGTATGTCTCTGTCCACAGGAATATTGAGAGAGCTTTATATGGAAAGTAATATTCAGAACAAGGACAGGAAATACATAAGCAGATATATACTTGGAAAAATAACAAGATTAGGTTGAGATAACTTAACAACTTAACAGCAAAAGTGTGCTTTGGTCAGGACCATATGTTTCGGATGAAGCTACTTAAAATAACTACAATAATCTGTTGGAGAGGGCTAGTAGCATTGTGCATTCACAGAAAAGGTGTTTCTCTGAGGGTAAACAAAAACTGTTTCCTTCAGTTTACTCTTTCACTAACTGAGTTTCTGTATAAGGCAGAGGATACCTGCCATATAGGCCACAGGAGAACGCTTAGCCAGGTATTTGAACCCTTTAAATGATTTTACATGAAAACCTATTCTCACTGGCAGGGTCCTATTGCAGACTCCGCCCCTGCACATATGTCTTAGATACACCCAGACTCCCTCACCTCTGCACCCTAAGGGCACTATAAGCCAGACACTCGGGCAAATGAGATCGTAATACTTCACCACTCAGAACTTTCCCTGGTAGCCTGATAGAGACATGGGCAAAAAGCCTGGTCACTACATTCTCATTGGAATGGCTAAAGGAAAGGAAACAGCTGGTAAAGCAATCACTGAGACTGCGGTAATGGGACAGCCACCTTAGAAAGTGCTGGGTAGTTTCTTACATGTGTGTGGCAATTTCTCTCAGCCCATTGTGCTGTCTTTACGAGTAGTAAGAAATGAAGGTATAGGTCCCTACAAACATCTGTATATGGATGTCTTAGCAGCTACAGACAAAATTGTCTTCAGCTGGAGAAAAAAAAAATCACACATTCTCTAGCTGATTTATACAATAGGGCACCGCTCAGCAATAAAAGAAAATTAACTAGTGGTTTTTAAAGCACTAGAAATCTAACATCAAGACTGCTTACTGTGTGATTCTGTTTAATGAAACTCAAAAATAAAATCAAACACAGAAAAAAAAGTCATTTTTTTTTATAGTGGCCACAAGTGGAAGAGATGGAGATATGAGGAATTTGTGGAAATGCTCTTTATCTGAACTCTGGTAATATTCACATTTTTAAAAACTTACAGAACTCTACATTATAAATAAAGCTTTATGATATAGACAAAGTGTACCCGATCAAAGTGATTATTAAATGTTCCTTGGGAAATCACCATTTGGTTAGTTTGCTCTAAATCTAACTGACCATTCTTCACTGTGTACCCATCTCTTCTGCACAGTTGATCTGTATGAAGACAATACAATTAGTTCCCCTATTGAATTAAAGCAATATTCATAGGGCACTAAAATTCTTCATTTATAGCTGAACACAAAATAAATTATCTCTTACCTGCCAGCTCTAGACTTGTTACTTCTGGAGCTGTTATTGGTGGGATCTGGGTGAAGGCTGCATGAATGCAGCTGATGGTCCTGTAGGACAGGACACAGCTTCTGGGCAGGCGTGGCCTGCCTCTTGGGGTAGCAGGCATTAACCTGGGCGGCATTCGGAACACATCTCCTCTTATGGCATCCTCGTCTTCCTCTTCCTCTTCCTCTTCCCTCTCTCCTCCCCTCTCAGTGTCTTCCTCGTCCTCTTCCTCCCCTTGTCCATGGTAGAGTGGTTGATGTGCTGATCGCTCTTCCACCTCAGGCCTCAGCTTCCCCTCTGCTCTTTCCTCATCACCGTGAAGCTCAGTAGGCCCAGAGGCTTCTTTCTTGTGATCCATATGTTCTTTAATTTTTTCCTCATCACCCTCAGATTGATGAGCTTCTTTTATGACTACTTGGTTCATTTCCATCTGAGGAGGTGGCACTTGCTTGTGAAGTATGTTAATGGATTCTCTTTGTTCTGAAGAATCACCAGAAAATTCAGTTTTATCATTTAGTGTTCTACCACTGATTAGAGAATAGGAGGCTACTGATCACAGAAGGATGAAGTAACAGGGGTAAGTTGATGATATTAATAAATGGAAAAAGTCATAATGAAAATGAGGTTAATAAATATTATTCCCTCTACTTGACTCCTATGTAAAGATTAAATGAAGTTGAAGTTTTTCCTTAAAGTTAACTAACTTTATTTCTCTTTTTGTAGGACTTGCTATAGATACATGATTTTTGTGTCTGTGAACTTTAGTACTATTTTTTGCATTAAATAATGTAATACTTGTTTTCACTAGAATATGATGTTTATCAGTAAACTAAAAAGGGAATAATAGGCGATGTTGGCAAATTCCTTTAATCCCAACACTTGGGAGGGAGAGGCAGACAGATATCTTGAGTTTGAGGTCAATCTGTTCTACCAGGTTAGTTAGAGGACATCCAGGCCTACCCAGAGAAACCCTGTCTTGAAAAAAAACAACAACAACAACAACAAAAAAAAAGAGGGAATAATATTGCCACATTATACAAAATAGAAGACTGTTTTATTGTGAGGCTTTGGTGTCATTAGTTAGTATACCATTATAATAGAAACTGCTCTGTAGCTCTTTGACAGAGTAGAGAAGATATAGTCTACATTTAGTCTCACTTTAAGTGAAGAGTTCTAAAAGTGAAGAGTTCTAAAGAGAAATGAGTTCATAGTGCATAGATTTTCTTCTATCAAAATGTATAAATATAATTATCTATTTTTTAATTGATATATAAGCTATTCCCAGAAGAAACACAAAAATAAAAAAATACAATTATTTGAACTCCCTCTGTAGACCAGAGATCCACCTGCCTCTGCCTCCAAAGTACTGTGATTGAAGGGATGTGTCACAACCATCTGGATTCAGTATTTTTTTTTTTCTTTCCATCCATAGCAAAGTATGCAGAAGAAGAGGGGGAAATTAGTAAATGGAAGCTAAATATATCACATTTAAACTTTTAAAATCCTTTCTGTGTCCAAGTTTACTTATCTAAAATAACTACATCTCAAGAAGACTCCAAATCCTTTGAAAAATATCTAATAATTTCAGAATCTTATCTATAATCATCTTGTATTTTACTTCAAGGAGACAGTTTCAGTGAGCACACCTTCTAACATTTTTAAAAAACTATAATGCTTTGGATCAAGCTTGATGGTGCATGTCTTTAATCCCAGCACTTGTGTGGCAGAAACAGAGGCAGGGGAATGTCTGTGAGGCCCAGCTACACAGTGAGAACCTGTCTCAAAAGCACGGTGCCTTAGTGAAGTGACTGACAGTGTGAAGCACAGAACAGTTTCTAAGGGTTCTGAAGTTTCCCCCAGCAGGAGGCTTTTAGATGTCCTCTGGTCGTCTGTGCAGGGTGCGGAGAGCAATCTGCCTTGATATTGACACAAGAAAATGTCCCTATCTGTACCTGTCAAATGATTTAACATCTGTTTATTTTCATAAGTCACTAGCTAAGCTTTCTTCCAGGTGGCCTAAGCCAACCTCCAGGGGGCACCCCCATTTGTTCAGGAACAAGTCTCGTTTGAGAACAGGTCAGCAAGCATCCACTGAAATCCATGGAAGTGCCACCCAAGAAAACAAGTCCCAGTCCACACCTGTGTGTTTTGCTGGGATTCCTCAGACCACTGTTGATTTCCTTGCTGCCTGTGGGCTGATGGATGGGAGAGCCAGGAGGGTTGAAGCTTTGTATGCTATGATTATAAGTCACTGCTTGTTCTCATGATAGTGATTAGTATATTCCTGACAAGCTTGATCAATAGGATGGTTAATTAATAATTAATAGGATGATGCATATACAAACAGACTGAAGTAAAACTCTGAACTAGTTACTAAGTCAGGGTTTATTGTAGGGATTCTGTCACTGTCTGTCTAAAGCCTTATAAGATTAACACATGAAACAGAACTAGGACGACTTGAGTCAGTCTGAGAGTTGGAACTATAGAGCCATAATCTCTCTTTGTACCCTAAATACATTTTCCTAGAAATTTCTGTTTACTGACACTGAGCTGCATTTTAAGTACCTTTATGACTACATTTATAATGTTATACCTTAGTATAATGATACAATAAAAACAAATATAAGTTAAAGACTAAATTATCTGTGGTACTTTGTTTTATATTGTATACCAGCATCAGAGCAGATGGGGCAGCATTCTCCTTCTGGTTTAATGGTATAGGGGCACGCCTTGGGGTGGCACACAGTTTCATCACAAAGTACTCTTCCATTTGAGCAGAGGCAGGTGCTGCAGGGCTCAGGAGACCAGACAGCTTTGTTGTACATGATCATGCCCTTTACAAAGCAGTGTCCTTTCTTTCCTAGAAAAAAAGAGAACACACTGATTGGTAGCTTGATTGACTGACTGACTCACTGAGTGACTCACTGAGATAGGGTCTCTCTATTACATAGTCCTTGTTGCTCTAGAACTCACTGTGTAGACCAGGCTAACCTCAGACTCACAAGAGAACCACCTGCCTCTGCTCACTGAGTGCTAGGATTAAAAGAGTATGCCACCATGCCTAGCAGGAACATATACTTAACTGTCTTCAGTGATTATCAGAATCCACGAATGGACAGAAACACAATGCAAAGTCAAAATTATATAACCACCTGAGAATAGAGCTCTGTATGCACCCATGTACAGATAATTGCCCATAGTGCTTTTCCATTGGCTATCCTTTATGCTACTGAGTGACTTCTTCCTCGTAACTTGACTTTGAATTGACTGTCTATCTTATATCTGTCAAGAAAAGCTAAGTTTTGTCAGGGGACAAACAGCATTCAAAACCCAAGCATTTGGGCTAGAGAGAATGGCTCAGAGTTTAAGAGCACTAGCTATTCTCCTAAAGGTTCTGAGTTCAATTCCCAAAACTATCTGTAGTGAGATCTGACACCCCCTTCTGAACTGCAGACATATATGTAGATAGAACACTACATAATAAATAAATAAATCTTAAAAAAACAAAAAACAAAAACCCAAGCATTTGTCATTTCCTTAAAAAGGTACAATCTTGACATACCGGAACTCAGCTTGTTGGTGCTGTGTTTTCTGTTTTAGTGTAAGCTAGTGCCTTGTAGCTGTTCTAGTCCCGATGAAGGAGGCTGAGGCAGGAGGATTTTGTGATCTAGGAGTTTAAGACAGGGTGGGCAATATAATGAAACTCCCCATCTCAAAAAAGTAAATTAACCAGCCTGGTCTACGGAGCAAGTTCCAGGACAAGCTCCAAAGCTGCACAGAGAAATCCTGTCTTGAAAAGGAAAAAAGGAAAAAAGGAAGGAAGGAAGGAAGGAAGGAAGGAAGGAAGGAAGGAAGGAAAAGTAAATTGTACCTACATATGAGAACATATGGTAATTTTTGTTTCTGAATCTGAATTACCTCAGTATAATAACTTTTTTTAAGATTTTTATTTTTTATGTGGGTACGTGTTTTCCCTGCATGTATGTATTGCATCATAGGAATGTAATGCCCTCAAAAGTCAGAAAAAAGGCATCCCCTGAGGCTTTTAATTACTGACTGTTGTTCACCTCTTGGGTGCTGGGGACTGAACATGGTTCTTCCATAAGAGCAGCAAGGGATCTTAACCACTGAGCTCTCTCTTCAGCCACATTATAGTATTGTTGAGATCCATCTATTTTCTCTCATGTTAATTTTCATTTTTGTATGTGTGTTTATATAATGCATATGTAGGGGAGTATTGGTCTAGGTTATGAAATGGGGAGGTAATGTAAAATGGAGCATAAGAGAGGACACCGGGAGTGGGGTGGGAGAGAAAAGGTGAGGAGGATCAGCCTAAGTCTGTTTGAAACCTAATACTTTGTGTGCTTATTTTTATCTATGTGTCTGACTATAGCATTGTGCATGTGAGTACAGTGCCTGTGGAAACCAGAATAAAATATAGGATCCCCAGAAGTAGAATTATGGGTAGTTGTAAGCCACCCAATAGAGATGCTGGGAACCAAACTCCAGTCCTCTGCCAGAGCAGTATGGGCTCTTAACACTGAGCCATCTCTCCAGTCCCTAAATATTTTTAAATAAATGATACTCTTCATAAAAAATAAGGTTTCCCAGACAGTAAATAAAGGAGAAAATTGTTGACATCTTAGGGTTATCCTCTGACTTTTACATATGTGCTCTATGTGACATGTGGCACCCACACACACACATATCTAGCACACATAAATAATAAATAAAAATATAAACAAGTAAATTTTAAAATAAAATGTTAAGTAAATTTGGGTGCTTTTCATATCCTTTCATAACTGAGGTGATATCTTTATTGTTCTTAACACTATGGATACACTTGTCATTTATAGTTTTAGCAAATATAGCCTAATTTTCCTTTTTTCATATAATTTTGTTTCTGTTAACTTCATGAAAGAATAAAACTAGCAGCTTTGAAACAGGGTATGAAATACTGGCTACAGATTATATGGTGGGGTTTTTTTGTCTTTTCCAAGTTTTATTTAATCATAACATATTTACATATATACAGATATAAAGTATATGTATTTATATATGTGTGTATCTATATATATACATTTACATATATACCGCTATATATAAATATACATCTACTCTTTTCTAACTTAGAAAGTTGTTAATCACTAAATGCTAGTTTCAAAAAAATAATTACTTGAAATCTTTGGCAGAATTTGCAGTCTTTTCAGCCTTTAAAAAGTCAGTATCCTAGCACTCAGGAGGCAGAGGCAGGTGGATCTCTGTGAGTTCAAGGGCTACCTGGTCTACAGAGCAAGTTCTAGAATAGCCAGAGCTGTTACACAGAGAAACTCTGTCTTGAAAAAACAAATTACAAAAAGGCCAGTATTCTGTATAAAATAAATTCAGTGGCTTTTGTTCCATTTTTACTTAGCAAAACTTTGTTTTGAAAATATTAACTAGCCCTGTGTCAAAATCATTTGATAGGCTTCTTCTCTAGATGATGTCATAGTAACTGAAAGGCATTTCACTAATTGATACATATATTGTTTGTATTATATGATCACTTGCACCCATGTGATAATTATAGTTTTATAGTGCAAAATAAGGTTTGCCAGTAATTTTGTATAAGTATGTTCCCTGAATACTTCTTATTTTATATGCATTGGTGTCTCACCTGTCTATGTGTCTGTGTGAGGGTGTCAAATCCCCTGGACCCAGAGCCACAGATAGTTGTGAACTGTGATGTGGGTGCTGGTAATTTAATCTTGGGGTACTCTGGAAGAACAGCCAATGCTCCCAACTGCTGAGCCATGTCTCCAGCCTCCTTGAATACTTTTTAGTTACTTTAAAGTTTGTTTATATATCAAGAGGCAGTACAAATCTTAAAATTTTTTCCCTTTGGAGAGTTCCATTCAGACATTCTCTTACCTGGTAACACATTGTAACTTGATTCTGCTCCAGGAGAACTTAGAAGGGATTCTAAGTTTTCCTCCACGCTGTAATCAGAGTTGGCAGTGAGTAGCCTTGCTTCTGGTGCAGCAGCTGTTTGCTGAATTTCAGGCTGCCTGTTGGCTGTGTGGTTTAGTGAGGAACTTTTCCTGAGTCTTCTCTGATGTACCCTCCTCCTTTGCTTCCTAGTACTTTGTTCACAATCGGTTTGGAAAATGATAAGCAGAATGAGACAAAACAAAACTGCATGTTTCATGTTTGATCTTTTTTTCACCAACAAACTTCTAAAAGGAAACAAAATTTCAAGTTAGTGGTGACTACATTTTTACTTCAGGAAGTTGACCTAGTTGTCTTATTGTAGCAGCAGGGAGGCTTTGAAGAGTAGCACCTAAGTGATGTGTGGTCTGAGTCACCCTGCGGTAGTGCTGTCACGTCAGATTCTGGTACATCTGTATCTCTAGGTCAGGTCTGAGCCAAGGATTTCTATAAAGGGCCAAATAGTAAATGCCTAACCATTTATGGATTATTTGTTTTTTGTTCTAAGTATTTAGTTCTGCTGTTTTAATCTAGAATCTGCCATAGCTGTTCCAGTAAGATGGAAATAGTCTACAGCAGCTGTTTTGGTAAGAGTTCACCATCTGAACCAGGCGTAGAAGCACACCTGTATTCGAGTGAGGGGCAGGAAGGTTGAAAGTTAGGGTCAACCTTGGAGACGAGATCCTGTCTCTGCATCAAATTGTAGCTTATGGCAGAATTTTTAAAAACATGGACAACACCCTGGATTCATTCTCTAGTTCTTTTTAAAAAGGTAGAAGACAGGCTGGTGAAATGGCTTAAAGGGTAAATGTGCTTGCTGCATAGCTTATCAATCTCACTTCCATCCTTGGGACTGGCATGGTGGGAAAGAAATGACTTCCACAAGTTGTCCTCCTATCACATGTGCTCTGTGGCATGGATGTGCATGCATGTTCACATGCACACACAGTAAATAAGTAAATATGATTTTTAAATTAAAACAAAATTTTATATAGAAGAAAATGTTTTGTGATGTGTAAAATCATATGAAATTAAAATCATATTATTTCAACATAAAGTTTCATTGGAACACAGCATGCTTATTTGTTCATGTATTGTTTGCAGCTTTGTACCACAGGCCAAGATCAAGCCTGCAAGATGTAAAATTTAGACTAAAGAGCTTAAGTTTTTATTCAAAGCTTAAAGCAATACCTCCGAATTGGGGATGACTTGTCCCCCCGGAGACATACAGCAGTATCTGACTTGTATAGACATTTTCCATCATTTAGTTGGGAGCAGCTCTACAGGTGTCCAATGTGAAGAGGCAGAGGGTACCACCAATCATCCTACAGGATACAGTCTTCCACAACAAAGAGTTAGCTGAGCAAAATATTGGTAGTGCTGAAGGGGAGCAGCCCTGATAGAGAAATTGTTCCTCTAGGTTTTAACTGAAGTGTTATTATAGGCAAAACAAGCTGCATTTTAATTGGGTAGAGTCAAAAGAGTGGGAAATTAGTTGTTTTCATATGATAACCTCCTTCTTAAAGTTTTCTCATAACTCCAGACTTACATTTTGTTTTATCTCTTTCCAATTCTAGTACATACGCATGTTAGGAAAGAATAACCCAGATGCATTATCTTTGTTTGATTATCTGGCGTGAAGCAGTAATATTGATATCAAGTATGTAGCATATGTATTCCAAAATGTTTGGTTTATGTTTCCCCTTCTGTTTGGTGTTTCCCATTTCTGAGAATTAAACTCGGCATCTTTCACATTCTAGATAATCACTCTACCACTCAGCTGCAGCTCCAGCCTCTTCTTTGCTTTGAGACAATGTGTCTTTAAGTTACCAATATGACCTCAAACTTGAAGTCCTCCTGCCTCAGACTCCTAGGTAAAAACATCCACCACAGCATTTCTGTGGTGCTCAGGTGGCTGTTGTTCCCAAGCATCCTCATGGTTCAAGTGCTGCTTCACTGCATGCAGCACACTTTGGGTCTCTGACATCATCTACGTTTCACCAAAAGAGAACTTGGTACCCCCTCCTCACTATCTGTGTTCACCCTTTGGCCAAGCTTGTCCACATGATAGCCCATAAGAGATTAAAAATAAAAAAACAGGTATACAGTTTTCTTCTGAATTCATACTTTAGCCAGTGCTTTAAAAATATATTTACATTTGTAAAAAGGTAGCTATTTTTAAAAAACCAAATGACACATAAGTGTATACAGCTGAAAAGACAAGTTATCCTAATCATAATTTATTACAATCATAGTCAGATATTTGTATCAAGGACTAACGAGTAACTATTTGGGACGACTATGTGTCGCAGCTTTTCAGCTTTCTTCTTATGATCCCAGACTAATCCTCACTATCATTTGACTGGGTGGGCCTAGCACTGTTCTGATAGTGATGTGTTCAGCAAACAAAATGTGGTATTTGAGCCATGATTTACCAGCCCCAGATTCAGCCTATCTTTCATGACTCTTCTTTATTTAAAAAAAAAAAAAAAAAGATGTATTTATTATGTATACAGTGTTCTGTCTGCATGTATCCCTACTGGCTAGAAGAGGGCACTAGATCATTATAGATGGTTGTAAGCCATTGTGTAGCTGCTGGGAATTGAACTCAGGACCTCTAGAAAATAAGCTAGTGTTATTAACCACTGAGCCATCTCTCCAGTATGCCCATATATATTTAAACATATATCATATATAAATTAAATATTTATATTTAAACATAAATGGGAACAGTCTATATTATAATTACACTCCAACCTTTCATCCAGTCAGTAAGAAATTCTGAGCATGTGGGTACACATGTCAGTATGTTCAAAAACAGTCTATTTAGCCTGTTTTCATCTTGTGAGTTACTTAACACATTTGATATCTGATAGGTTAGCATTTCTGTTTTTTAGTTTCTTTAAAACTTGTTCCATTACAGTCTAGGCTGTTCTTCGCCTTTCTGTGTAGCTGAAGTTACCCTTGAACTCCTTCCACATCCTTCTGCCTCTCCACCCCATATGTTGGTGTTACTGGCCACTCAGAAACATTCTCAGTCACACATCTTCTGGAAGCATTTTTACATTCTTAATTTTATTTTTAAGTTTACAAATAATGTATTAGTGGAGTCTCTGTTTTGGCCTTTTATGTTGCTTGGCACTGGTAAGTTAGTCTGGTCAGGGTCTATTAATCAGTGTGAAAGCTGTGTTATGGGCGTGTACAGCTTCAGGCTTGTCTTACTTTCCTGGTTCTTTCATTACTAGATTGAGGCTTCTTTCTGTATCTCGACTAGTGCTCCAGTCAGAGCTACTTTGTCTAATTGTCTAACATTGATGTAGCTACTTCCTTTCGGTAATGTACACTTGGCATTTTTGTACCATTTCACTTTTAGCCTTTCCATAGTGTATTTTTCATATGATCTTTGAATTTTAATGCAGTCTGACAATCTTTATATTTGATAGGAACATGAAACCCATTTATACTTAATGTTATACTTTTCCCTCTTTCTGAGCAATGCAAGAGCCAGATCCACTTTAGTCCCATTTACTTTGTGTTTTTCTGAAATAAGAGCTGTTTTCATCAAATATTTAAATTCTCTGTATATGTTAAAAATAGTGCATCTATAGATTATGATGAAAAGATTATTTTTCAGGCTGGCAGGATGGCTCAGTGAGTAAAAGTGTTTGACATCAAGCCTGATAACACGAGTTTGATCCCAGGAACTGACGTGGGAAGGTGAGCACTGATTTCCCCAAGCGTTCTCTGACCTTCACACATGCACCACTGCACAAACCCAATAAACAACAAATAAAGAAGATTGCTGTCATTCCTCTCTATCAAAAATAATTTAGATCAGACTTTTTGACCCTCTTATCAAGATTTAGGCCCAGATTATTCTTTTGTGGCCTGTGTGCTGTAGGGTATTTAACAGGATTCCTGTCCTCTTTCACTAGCATGATCTTCGGTTATGACAAGCAAGACTACTTCTGGACATTACCAAATGACATGCTCCCCATCTGAGAGCCATTTCTTCAGATTCCCCACACACTTCTTCTCATCCTTTCCCATGTCTCCAGACCTTTATTCAGATTTTCCTTGTCATTCAAAAAGTGTCACGTACTAATCCATCCTGTGCAGTTCTATTGAAGACTAACTCTTTTTTTTTTTTTAACTGAAAATACTTTTGTACTCCCGTAATTTTGAAAGTACATGTTTGCTGGATAGGTTTTTAGATTGATAGTGGTTAACATTTTTAAGATACCATTCCTATCTTTTTGTTTGTATTGATTCTACGTTTTCTTTTGAAACAAGGTCTCATGTAGCCCAGACTGGCCTCAAACTTACTATATAATCATGGTTGATCTTGACTTTCTAGTCCTTTTGCCTACACTTCCCATGAGATCCCAAGAGTAACCACCATGGCTTCCTTTGTCGGTTCAATTGAGAAGTCATGACTCAATCAAACTACTTCCTTAAAAATAGCTTTTTTTTTTTTTTTTTTGACCATTTTTTTGGATGTTCTCTTTGACCTTCAGATGTTTCTTCTAAGACATGTAGAAGGTATGGTTCTCTTAATTCTGTTATATTTGGAATTCATGATACATTTTGAATGCATACTGTGTTTGTTTGTTTATTCAAGAATAGGTTTCTGTGTGTAGCCATGGCTGTCCTAGAACTCACTCTGTAGTCCAGGCTGGCCTGGAACTCACAGAGGTCTGCCTGCCTCTGCTTCCTGGGTGCTGGGAATAAAGGCGTGTGCCACCACTGCCCAGCTTAGTGCTAACTTTTGTTGTTGTTGTTGTTGCTGTTGTTTTAAACTGTCATCTCTTTATGCTTTAGTACTTTACTCTTTTAAGAACTAGTCATTTTTGTAATAACTTTTCATTTTTTATGTCTTTTTTTCCATGTCACTCTTTATTGTATTTTTGTTCGTTTGTTGTCACGTGATTCATCCACAAGTCTAACTGATCTGGGTTATTAATACTCTCTTCAGCTGTGGCGTATACATTATTAGATTCAGCTGTTGGCCTCCTTGTTTTGTTTTTTATTTTTTTATTGTATTTCTGTTTTCAGTAAACTTTTGTTATTTTTAATTCTATACCACAATTTTAATGTCAAATTTGTTCTTTGAGCATTTAATCATATTTGTCTTAAAGTCTGTCTGAAGATCAGGCTTTCTGAACTCTCCTCTGTGTCTACCATCTGCTCTTTAGAACTTTAGCCATGTTCTAACATCTATTTGTGTGTCTGATGCCTTTTGAATTCATGCCAGA